CATCCCTATCCCTACATATTTTCCCACTTTGTGGGGCTTTATCGGGGATTAAACCTTAGTGCTTGTGCTACATGTGACAAATATTGTAGAGTGCCTTTAGGCCACTGCTCATGTGATCTCTGATAAATATGAAGATTCAAATTCAAACAGTGCTGCTGATTGCTTCAGAATCTCCTGCAGAGATCTGATGCTTATTAATTGACAGTACTACCATCATGAAAAAACCTCATTCTAATAACTATGGAGTTCATAAATGTAACAATTCTATTCATTATACAAAATCCTTTTTGTATAGTATTTTAATGTCTATATTTAGATTTTTCGTAATATCTACAGTATATGCTGACCAAGCTGTCTAGTAAAAGTAACCAGGGTTGACACAAACCATATTTCCAAGGGTACATACATGAGTCACATTGAATTCAACCGGTTTCAGTACTCTAAATAATAATTTAAAAAATTGACTGCAACTGCTTAACCACTAGCCTACAGGGCACTTATACCCCCTTCCTGCCCAGGCCAATTTTCAGCTTTCAGTGCTATCACACTTTGAATGACAATTGCGCAGTCATTCAAACACTGTACCCATATGAAATTTTTATTATTTTTTTGAGACAGATAGAGCTTTCTTTTGGTGGTATTTAATCACCTCTGGGTTTTTTATTTTTTGCTAAACAAACCAAAAACCTCTGAAAAATTTGAAAAGTTTTTTCTTAGTTTTTGTTATAAAATTTTGTAAATAAGTGATTTTTCTCCTTCACTGATGTGCGCTAATGAGGCTGCAGTGATGGGCACTGATAGGTTGCACTGATGGGCACTGATAGGTGGCACTGATGGGTACTGATGAGGAGGCACTGGTAGATGGCCCTGATGGGCATTTAACAGGCATCACTAATGTGCACTGAAAGGCAGCACTCATATATGGCACTGATAGGCGGCACTGACTGGCACTGTTAGGTGGCACTGAATGGCACTACTAGACGGCACTGATAGGCAGCACTGACAAGCACTGATAGGCAGCACTAATAGGTGGCACTGATAGACGGCACTGCCTAGCACTGATAGGTGGCACTGATTGGCAGCACTGATAGGTGGCACTGACTGGCATTGATAGGTGGCACTGACTGGCACTGATAGGTGACACTGAAAGGCAGCTCAGATGGGCACTGATATGTGGCATTGATGGGCACTGGCAGGTGCCATTGATGAGCATTGACAACTGGCATTGATGGACACTGACAGGTGGCACTGCTGGGGCTACACTGATCATCAGGGCACACTGATGATCAGTGTACATGTCTCCTCTGAGGGACGCCGATTACCGGCTCTCCTCTCCTCACGAGCTGTCAGCGTGACAGCTCGTGAGGAGAGAAATGTCGACAATCAGCATTTCCCTATTTCCCTATTTACATGCGCAGCTAGAGTTGGAGGACGTCATATGACGTCCTCCCAGAACAAGAGAACCGCCTTGCGCCCGTCATTTCCTTATATGGTGGGCGGGAGGCGGTTAAACACCCCTGTCAGTTTTTGTTCCCAACCCCTGTCACTGTCACATATTCTGGAAATCTTGGTCTGCATGTAAATGAGAAAATACCTTCTCCAATAAGGGCAAATAAGACAGTAAATGCTCTTTTAGTAGACTGAGAAAGGGTTGAAACTTCTAATTGGGAGGTTCTTCTCACATCCTGTGTGGGCAACAAGGCAGGAAGTAAGGGCAAATGTCAGTGGAGATGGAGTGAAAAAAACTTACCAGTGGACACCTTTCACCACAACACAAAACAAAACAAAAATAATTGGAGATGGTCTTTCAGATGTAAGTTACCACAGTGAACATAACAATTATCATACTCACTATATTAGTTTGGGATTCATTAACTATGCTGAAAGTCATTGGGGTTGATTTACTAAAGGCAAATAGACTGTGCACTTTGCAAAGTGCAGTTGCACTTTACAAGAGCAGTTGCCCCAGTAAGTGAGCTGAAGCTCTACTGACTTCCATCATCCAATCATGTGCAATCAAAAATGCTGTTTATTTATTGCACATGATTGGGTATTCTTTACAAAGGGAAGTTTAACCTCATTTACTCTGCTCTGCAGCAACTGCACTGTGCAAAGTGCACAGTCTATTTGTATTTAGTAAGTCAATCCCATTGTATTCCAGTATAAGCCAACCTAAGTCTTTTGACTTGATTTAGTCAGATTTTATTTAATCCCTGGGAAGGTTTTTAGGAAATAGCACATTATAACAAAGCTATTTGCAATATACTGCTCATGCGAACCAAACTGAAATTGCAAACTACTATGCACACATATGACAATGCAAAGAAGCTCCCTATTTTATAATTTGTATGCAATAAAGGAGAGTGAAATTGATATGGGTTGAATTATATAATTCAGATTGCCTTCACTTATTTATGAAAATGGAAGAAAAAACATTATCCACATGAAATACCGTGTATCCCTCTTCTAGATAATAAAAGGCGAAATTTGAATGTAGGCTACTGCAAGCAAATTCTTCATTTTGGTAAATTTTATTTTTTTATCAAGTAGGGCTCATGTCAATCTGTGTCAGATTCTGTATCTATCTATCTGTGATCAGACTATCACAGTCAAAGCTGTAGTTTACACTTGGGTTGGGGGGGCAAGAAACAAAGGAGGTTGAGCCTATTTGTTACTCCCCCCCAACTGCACTGGGGTATACACATCCCCATCACTGTGTTTGGTGGGCAGTACTGTATCCTCTCTAGGAATGCTCATTCCTTCAGACTGACATATACAAAAAAACATTTTTTTTGTATATGTTTTTATTAATTAATTTATTTTAGTTGTGGGCAACAAACATTGTTTTAGGATGCAAAATGTGCTGTACGTGTTTGAATATTTGTGAAATCGGGATTTAGTTGTTTAGAGTTTGAGAGATGTGGCAGTTATGCATTTTGGAAGTTTGGGAGTTTTTGCACCAGCAGACTTTGTATTGAGGCAGTATCTGAGCGATTTGTAGTTGTGGGCTGTATATTAAACATACTAGAGGAAAGCTTTAAAACTAAAAGCTCATGCATTATACTTTTTCATTTCATTGCTGTATGTTTTTATTATTATCATATCACATTTCTGACATTCATGAATATAATATACAATAATTTACAAACAATTACAAATCGACTGAAATAATGAGGCGACTCTGCTCACAAGAGCTCACAATCTGAACAAGACACTGAACATGAAAATGCATGTTTTTGAGAAATCGAACCATCTGTACATTTCCAGATCCCAAGTGCCAGTGAGGAGTAAATTAGGGTTTATGAGAATGGAAGGCAAACCAGGCAGCTTCACACTAACAGTACTAATGGTTGGATGAGTCTCTGAAGAAAGGAGACATGACGGATCGATTGACAAGTGCAGCAATAATGATGGATGCAGCAAACAAGCGTGATCATGAATTCCAAAGAAGAGGTTCAGCCCTAGTGAAATCTTGAAGATGTGCATAGGATGAGCTAATGAGGAGAGAGAAGAGTAGCAGACCAGATATAGTTCATGGGGAGTGACTGAAGGGACACTACATATAAAATACAAGTGAATTTACATAAGTTATAATAGTATTCCTGAAAAATACTACATGTGAATGTTTCAACAGATTATCACAAATTGGTATATCGATTCAACTCAAACACAACTCTTTATGCCAACTCCTTTTCATTGTACTCGCCTCTCCATGTTAGCAGCACTCTCTATACAAGGCACATGTACCACTAGCTCTATACTGGTTTGTTAAAGGAAACCTATAGTGAGGAAGCATGGACACTGCTATTGCCTTCTACTCCTTTTGAATATACCAGTACTCTGAGAATCATACTGATCTAACAGATTTGCTACTTACGAAGTCTAATTATAGAAGCTGTTCCAGGTCAGTGACTAAGTAATATAGTCAGCATGCAGATGACAGTCCTAAAGCTTACACCTTTTAAAATAAGTTGACAATAGCAACTCCAACATTTCTACCCTTACAGGTTCACTTTAAAGGCAGACATGACTAATGTGTAATTCTACCCAACGGTGAAGGAAGAATTCAGTATCTTCGGACATTTCAGCTTGACCTGTATCACTGAAGAATTCAAAGACTGACTGATCTACTATAAGCTCATCTGAACTTTTCATGAGGTTATTAGTGAACTAGTTAGTCATGTGCTATGTTTTAGGGCAGAGTATAAATAAAACATGTTAGTCAACTGAAAAAAAATCATGCTGGTTGCAAGTGGAAAGTAGGTAAATGTAGCTCAGTAGAGAAGAACACAACCATTTGGAATTCTAGGAGTCCTGCTTGCACATCTTAGAGCAAAATATGTGATAACATATTAAAAATAAGCGGAGCTAAATAAAGAAGCATAGGCTGTCAGGTATGGAAGTATAAAACTCCAACAAACCCAAAGTGCTCCAACCCGGGCCCTCTCTAACACGAAATCTGAATGGAGTCTCATGTGCAGGTCTGCCAAACCCTCCCCTTTCAAGTGATATGTCAAAGAATTCCACCACCATCACAACGACACAAAAGAACCTTAAAACATTCAACTTCTCATATTAACTACCAGACATTTGCACATTTGCTCCCCAAAACCCTGCTTACAGAGTTTTTTGGACCAAATAAACTGATCCACTCATTTTAGGGTTTGAGGGTTAAGCAGTGGTGACTGCATAAATTGGTGAAGGTAAAGACAGCCATCAATCTGCTACAAGTTTTACCTTCACCACCTTCTCTTGGATCATAGATGACAATATATAGTTGTGCCGTGTGAGACATTTACGTGACTAATCACAAACAGATTAATTTTAAAATACCGTTATTTGCTTAATAAATTGATGTCACATAAGCTGTTAAAATAAACAACTCAAGACAGTCATAAAGCTGAATAAATACAATTCTAGAGGGATCTCCGGAATACTAGAAACATTCCAGAAGAGAAAAATTTTAAAGTAAATATACACGTATTTAATAAGTCACTTACCATATGGGGCAGCTGGATGTTAGCTAGACTGTGAATAAGAGACTGACTAAGATTGGCCAGTTCATGAAGAAGAGACTCATTTTGCTGCTCAATGACTTTATTCTCTTCTTCTATTGTCTTCAGGTTACTCTCCATTGTTGTAATCTAAAAGGCACAGCCAGGCACAAAACACAACAAAGACCATTACAAACCATTAGCATCAGGTGTAACTTTACCAACAAAGCTATTAATGTGAAGTCTACCTAATGGAGTTCATTCTATGATTAGAAAAAAACTATATTATGGCTCAATCTTACTATCTACATGATAATGTAAATATTAAATATTTTGATACAATCATGTGTAGGATTTTTTAAATTGTAATTCTTTCTATGTGAATTGAAGTTCTTCATCTGACTTCAGTTTGTATTTTAAATTACCCAGCTAGTACATGGTGTTTAATTTTTACCTTCCTATATTCTATATATTAAAAAATTCAACTTACTGACTTCATCATCCAAGATGACTAAAATAGATTGCAAAAGCATGCTTGGGGTTCATTCACAGACAGCCTGACTCACTTGTTATTAGAAATTGTGGAGCAAAGAAAATGGAGGCATTGTCCACAGCAGCCTATCAAATTGCACCTGTCATTTTTCTAGTTTCAAGTTATTTTTTCCCCTTTCTGCTAGTCATAAAGCTGGGCTCTGCAAGGTTATTTGTTCTGCCAAATGTCATGCTTTCATTTTAAAAATGCTAACTTTTTTATTTCTTATGTTTTTTTGAAGCACAATAAAAATTACTTGTATTAGATTGTTCTAAGAAGTTTGACGTATGTTGTCCATATAAGTACAAATCAAATTAGGTCCAAATAAACAAGAAAATAAGTTTTAACAACATACTTGTTGATTTTGTGTGAGTGCTGAATAAATGTGCCAAGTGTCTTTATGACTGCATTGACCTCCTGTTGGGTATCCAAGTACATTGAGAAACTTTCTTTGTTACTAATGTATATTTACATTAACCATACCCTATCATACTCATGCTTTAACTTGTCACTTGATGTAGTAGGCTGAAGAGGCAGTCATGTCTATGGGTGAAGCAGGAGTCATGGAGTTTTTAATCACAAATAGCTAAATTAGCTTAATATTGCTTAGAGTACAAAAAAGTCTCCCTTCACTATTAAAAGGCAACTAGAATACCTTTAATCTTTCTCATTCTGGATGTTGTATATCAGGCCTTGAAATTTCCACTCGCCTGCTCGCCAATGGCGAGTGAAAATTATGGTGGGGGCGAGTGTCCCCCCCAGAGCCGTCTTGCTGAGCAAGCTCGGAGCTCAGGCCGGATCTGTCATTGGCACTGGGAGCCATCAGACTGCTCAATAGCTGAGTGCAGTGAAAGCAAAGGAAGGAGTGTGTGCTATGCTCTCTGCCTCCCCCTAGAGTGCAGTACCCGGCTCTGTGAGTGAACAACGAAGTACTGCAACTTTTTATAGGGCTGTGTGTGTGTGTGTGCCTACCTAATTTCAGCTTACTCTGGTCACATGATCCTCTATGTCAGCCAGTGGTGGCTTGAGGAGAGAGCACTTAACAGCGTGTGTGTGTGTACATGTGTGTGTGTGTTTGTGTGTGTGTCCGTGTATGCATGTACATGTGTCTGTGTGTATATGTACATGTGTCTGCATGTATGTACATGTATGTGTGTGTACATGTGTCTGTGTGTGTGTGCATGTACATGTGTGTGTGTATATGTACATGTGTCTGCATGTATGTACATGTATGTGTGTGTGTACATGTGTCTGTGTGTGTGTGTGTGTGCATGTACATGTACATGTGTGTGTGTGTGTGTGTGTGTGTGTGTGTGTGTATGTATGTACATGTGTCTGTTTGTACATGTGTGTGTGTATGTATGTACATGTGTCTGTGCGTGTGTATTTCTGTGTATGTACATGTATCTGTGTGTATGAGTGTCTGTACTTGCCTGTGTGCATACATGTGTCTGTATGTGTGTGTGTGTACATGTGTCTCTGTGTGTGTATGTACAGGTCTGTGTGTGTGTACAGGTGTCTCTGTTTGTGTGTGTTTGTTGGTGGCGAGTAACTCTTAAGGCCTGGCTAGTAGCTCAGGACTTGAAATGTAAGCATATAATATGTTCATGTCATGTCAGATTGTTGTCTTATAGAGTATATTTGAGCTAGCTAAGCTGCTGCAATTTTATCTACCGAGTTTAGTTATAAAAGTGCCTTAAATGTGTGCGGATGTACTTTTTTAGTAAAATACTGCAAAGAACAGCCAACCAAAGCTCTTATTATTATTATATGATTAGCAAGTGATGAGTTCTTATTGACTGATAAAAGGCACTGCTCTATGCACATTACTTTCTGCCTTATTAATTAGTTAAGCCCAATGATATTAAGAAGATGGATTTTTTTTAACACATTTGTCCATACATGCAATTGGACAAACCTGTCAAACTGAGGTGTACAGAGCCACACATCTGAGTGTTAGGATAACAGTGGATGTGGACATACAGAATCCCCCCCCAGATATGTGATCAACTATCAATCAAGTCTGCAGTGTGTCTATTAGCACCTAAAGACTTGCCCTATACACAAAAAAGGGTTGATTTACTAAAGGAGTAGAGCATACTCACTTTATTTCACTTTGCAAAGTGAATTTTCATTGTCATTAGTGTTTGAGAAAATTCACTTTGCAAAGAATACCAAATCATGTGCAAGGATTTGAAGGTAAGTAGAATTTTAGCTTGCACTATTCAATGATTGAAGTCAACCCAACTTCATCTCAGTTACTAAGCTAAATGATTTTCTTTTTGCAGTACATAGAAATGATACTTCGTTAGTAAATCAAGGTTAATGATTATCATCAACTTCCCAACAGTCATCACCTTCAATTTTATTTTATTAATGTTGGTGTATATTCCAGAAATATAGCTGTAATTACTATATTGTTGTACACCTCAGTCAAAGAATACTGCACTGTTTTCGTGAGCCACTGACAGACTGTAGTGTCCTTCCTCCTGACTTTATGTGCGCCTAAAACTGCTAACAGTTTTAAAACCTAACATCTGCTCTGCGAATTGATGTCTCATAGCTGTTTGTAATGTAAGGTGTGTTTTGCTAATAGATAAAAAAAATGAAATTCTACTTATGGATAACTTTTATTCTTCAAAGGCTGAATTTCGTGTAAGTTACATGGAAAAACCATACAACCTCCCCTCCCGTGTAACTTACATGAAATTGGTATTCATCAACACAGGGATCTTGGCAAGCAACAGGACGCTCGTCCAGTACCTAGTGGGAGGGAGCAGAAGCTGAAAAGGGGGCAGAGAATGAAGCAAAAGAGGTGGAACTGTATGTGAACGTCCAATAGTGATCAATCTTGGAAGCCAAATATAAATGTTTATATATATGTTAGACTAGCCATCAGACTAGGCTAACAGATCCACTAAAAGATAGAACCCAGTTTTTTTAGGTAAGGGTCATGTAATGCTTGAGAGAGATAGACTTTTGTTTCTAATTCATCATTAATGTGTGCAGTTAAGTTCCACCTCTTTAAATGATCAAATCATAATCACTAAATTTTATTACACAAGCAAAACTGTCATTCTACATTTATCGCCATTAATCCAAAGTCTATAGACAATATTACTATTTTTTTTATTTAACTGAACTCTGTTTTTTCTTGTGCCAAATTGCAGTTGTTTTGAGTTCAAATTAAATAACTTTTTTGTTAATCAGTGCCACACACTTGAATGCAACACTTAACATTAAGAAGGTTCTCATCCTCACCCTTACCCTCCATGTAATTGTATTTTTTCCCCCAATCTGTCTTTGTCTACCTTTGATGTTTCGGTTGATGAATACCATGCAGCCAGCATGAACATGTGGCCACAGAAAACGGTATTTACAAAAGTACAGATGCACTCACGTATATGTCACATAGAGATGTAATCCGGACATTTCATGCACATGCACGTCACAAAGAAACAGTGCAGGCTTTAAGAAAGAAAAATGTTAAATGACAAATGATAATCGAGTTATAGCATCACAATGTTTACATGGCGTATGCTATTGTGCTGATCACCTGGCCTACCCATGTTACGTTAACCACAAGTGAACTTCGACCCTTGACAGCAAAGGTGAACTTCACTTCAAAAGAATGAACTTTTGCATGCATGAAGTATGGGTGAGTATGAGAATAAAAGCTTTACTGTCTTATTTTTAGTCTTTTTTTTTTTTTTTTAAGATTAATAAGTTAGTGGCATCTCATATAGTAAATTCTTACATAGCAGAACTGTATGCTTTCTTGGCAGTGCTAGCTGTAATAATATTCTATTTAAAATTATCTAAATAAGACATTTGCAATACTGTTTATTGAAAACTGTTACCTGAGTTCTCAGCTTAATCATATCAGATTCCATCTGGGAGTTGGATTCATTTAGTTCTTTTATTTCTTCATCCAATTGCTTGATCTCTTCGTCGTTTTCTATACCTGGAGGATATTAAAAGAAAAGAGTCTAATAGACTTATAACATTTTTCCTTATTGATATAGCCATGAAAATTATTGTTAGGATTGAATCAAAGATTTTAGCATTTCTAGAGAAAGAAGGTCTACTCTAAACAGAACTATTCATGCAGTTTCTAATAGCAGATTTGTTAACATCTCTATAGATAACCAAACAACAATTTTGCATCACTTAGTGATTCTAGATATAATGAAATGTGCTGCTTTTTCAAAAACGAAACAAGTGCTGGCCATACATGTGATAATCCAAAAATGTAAACCTTCAATTTGTCTGTTTTTTAAATTGAAAGCAAAAACAACTATTGAAGCCTTTTAGTGATTTAATGTAACTGGCTGGGTCAAGTTTTGATAGACCCTGTGGGAAATCTGATTTCAACTTTATAAGGTGTAATTCTATTCACATTTTTTCTTAGTTTTGGACAGAAGGAACAAAAGGTTATAACCCCTGTCCATCTTTAACTTCTATGTATATCTCTGTTAGAGAAATTTCCCCTCACTTCTTTCTACAATAATAATAGTTATGTATTTATTACTGGTACTTTTATAGTGCTGTCAATTTATGCAGCAATTTACATATGTATATTATACATTCAGACCAATCCCTGCCCTCACACATACCAGGGCCAATTAATTGTTAAATAATTAATTAATTATTACACATACTAGGGCCAATAGACAGGAGCCAATTAATCTACCAAAATGTCTTTAGAGAGTAAGAGGAAACTGGAGTACCTGGAGGAAACCCGTGCAGGCACAGGCAGATCGTTGGAATTTGAACTGACGACCCTAAGGATGTTAGGAAGTACTAATCACTTAGTAATAGAGACATTAATTTTTCCTTGATTAGGGCTCACTAATGTAAGGAAGGTTTTACCTTAGATGACTTCATACTATAGAAATGTCATTACAAACTGATCTACTGACCAAGGAATGTTTGCTATCTTCCTTAAAGATAATAATATTTTTTAGTCTAATCTTTTGTATAAAGCACAACCAAAACTGGAATAAGACAGTCCCATGCCATGGCATGCTCCTGGTTTGATCATAATGTCAAGCTGTAAAGAAACGGGACTCCCTGGCGAAAGGCATCTATAGCTAAGTATTGGTGTTACATTTTCTAATATTATTACATTTGTTATCTTTATCTTTCTATCATTTCTTAAATAAATGTTATATACAGTTCGATTTTACTTACATTACATTTGTAATCTCTCTTTGTAGATCTTGAAAACCCCCCCAAAAACATAAACTATCGCATAACCGTGATAACACACTTAGCTACTCTCCTGCCCATGGATATGGAAGCGAGGCAAAATGTATAACAGGGACACAGACAGCATAAAGTGAGCTTGGTGTACAGTTACTCACTTTGGGGGTCATTACAGAGGCAAGGGGGCACTCTTTACATCTGGAGGAAAAGAGATTTAGCCTTCACATATAGAAAGGCTTCTTTACAGCAATAGCTGTGAAAATGTGGAATAAACTTCCTCAAAAACTGTTTCTGAATAACTCAGTAGATTGTTTTAAAAAAGAGCTGGATGCATTCCTAAATGTATAAAATATAACTGGATCACAGTATTTAGAAATAATAAAACCAGGGGCAGTTGATCCATAAAATATCTGATTGCCTGCCTTTCCTTCCCTTTGTGCTTTATTGGGTTTTTTTGCCTTCCTCTGCATCAGCTGTGGGTATATGATAGTGTATATGGAGGTTTCCTATTTGTGTGTGTGTTTTCTTTTTTTGTATTGGTTGAGCTACATGGAATAGTGTCTTTTTTCAACCTCACTAACCATGTAAATATCTTTTTTAGAAGACAGTATGGCTAATTGTGACAAATCCAATAACAAAAAGAAGACAAACTGCTGTCATAAAAATACATGATGTCTGAGGGAATATACTGTATATATTTTGACTTTTATACTTATTACTGACTAATGCCTATAAGCTTGTAAACATATTGTCACCATTCTTTCTAAAAAGAATGATAAACTGTTCTCTCTTTAATACTTACATTTTTATTCAGTAGTTGTTTGAAAACAAAATATTTTAATTTGAAAAAAATAAGCAAGCAAAAAACAAAGCATTTGCTGTGTTAAAACATCAGACTGGAACACTTTTCATTGAAAAATAAATGCTCCTGTTTACATCATAGCCCACACTACTGAGAAAGTTAGAAGTTAAAAGTTCACCTCTTTGGACAAAAATAATAAATGCACATTGCAAAATGTAAAATGTGCATTTACTATTTTTGTCCAAATGAGCCTGGAAAGCATTGCACCAGCGATCAATAGATCGCTGATGCCATGCAGGTCTCCTGCAGACCTGTCAGAATATCTGCTTTCTGTACAGGGATGTACGGCCAAGCAGATATTCTGACAGGAAGCTTAAATGAACTACAACAGCGCTCCACAGCGCCATGGTAGTTGATTAAAAACTACAAGCCCACAGCCGCTAAAGCAGTTAATTCATTCACAGAAGTCCTAGAATGAATGACACACCCGTGTGGGCAGAGCCCCACACGGCCGTGCTGTTTTCAAATCTGACAGTTGGGTGTCCGTTTATGACACAGAGAATGGCTGTGATTCAACAGATCTCAGCTATCTCTGGTCATTCACAGTTTATGACACTCAGGAGATCATGTCAGCCCTTCTCTGGAGATCTGTGTGCTCCCTCCAGATTCTCCAGCCCAGAGCTGGAGAATCAGAGGGACCGAAAACTAAGCAGAGATAGTTTACCTCTGCTTAGTAAACTGATCTTTTACTGTAATCTCGAGAGATTATAGTAAAATGAGCCGTTTTTCAGAGTTTGTAGACCGTTCTCCAGCGTTTGGAGACCGTTCTCCCTTCGTTCGGAGAACTGCTTCATAAACTGCATTCACAGGAGAACTGTGTTCTACGAGAATGCCGGAGAACTGAGCAGCGATCTATTACCGCTGGTTCACAAACGGACACCATAGTACAGAGAAACTTCTCCGCGTATTATCTTTCAGAAGGAGGGGAAGGGGGGCTCGGGCGCATCTGCAGCTATGGTAACAGGTTACATGTTCCACCCTAAGAATGGGTGGAACATGTAACATGTTCCCAAAGGTGAACCTATGCTTGAAACATTTAGAACATTGCAGTGTACAATGATTGCTTGACACTAACTTTATTACAATATCTTAAGAATAGACAATACCATTGGTTGCTCTCTGCTTTATAGTCATCATTTCTTCTCCTGATAATCTGGCCTTCTTCATTGCTGATGTGGCTCTTGGACATCCCGATAAACTAAAATAAAATTTACAACAAAATTTACAAGATCTTTCACATTTTCATTAAAAATATTAAATCATTTTTAGATGTATTTCACATTTGGTAACTAGATAGAATTTCTGCGTTTAATTACTAATATATGTTTGATTCTTACATTTTTTTTGTTTGAGGCGAAGACTTGAAGGTTTAAACCAAATTTTAGATGAAAACTACTTAGCTTGGATGAGGAAACATATGAAATAAGTCTTTTAAGATTTTTTTTATACAAATGCAGTACCTTATTTTTAGTTTCATAAAAAAACACATCATTTTTTAATATTGATTATATTTGGTATCTCATATTTTTGGGACCGGAAAGATCAATTCTCATGTAGGAAACCAAATTGGAGAAAGTCAGACAGTACAACATTTATATCAAGCATTAGATATCTAGCATTTAACACTTATTGCAGATCCCCCTTTTTTAGCAAATGTATCGATGTGATTTACAGTAAAATCTGAGCATTTTCCCAATAACAAATTTGATGTTAACACATGAGGCTGTTGTACTCTACAGCTGGCTTCCATGAAACAAGCAACTTGCCTCCGATGTGTAAGAAAACTCCCACTAATGTGTCCAGAACCATCGCATCCAGGAGTTGGACAGGACATGCCTTCAGTTTTTCCAGATTTCCATGAGAACTGTGAGCCATTCAAGTAGCCATCCTTCTGCCTCTTGGCCGCCAGTGGACATCCAGATGCACTGCGATGTGATGCATACTTCCCCGTCACATGACCTTGTCCATCACAGCCAGGGACTGGGCATCTAGTGATCACAAATACAGAAATAAATTTTCTAATTTTCTTTCATTAGCATGTACTTTTCCACACTTTTGAACAAGCTCTAAGATTGGAAAGTATATGGATTAGATATATGCAACTTGCAGTAAAGTACAATCCACAGAAGTCTCTGGCTAATTGTATTGCTTTACAACAGCCGTAGTTATCTTCGTTTGTTAATGATTTCCCATTTGAAGGGAATGTATTTAAATGTTTAAATTTCTATACATTCTTTCAAAATTTCTAAATGTTCTTACTTTATATTTAAATTAATTTACAGTTCATAAACAACTAATTATATAAAGCGTTCTAATATGCCTAGTTTGCAGAGCAAACTGTACTATGAAATAGGAAATCCCAGAAAAGTCTACATACTCTTAGACTGTCTTTATCTATATGACCCCCTACAAGACAGTGGGTAGGTTGCACAACTATAACATGCTGTATGTGGTTGTAAATAGACCTCAATAGCAAAAGTTCAAAATACACTAGCAAAACGTCAACGTACACTTGCTGAACCTGCAGATGTTTGAACCGTGTGTACCCAGCTTTAGGGAGGGTTATAACCCTATCAGTTTTTTTCTGACATCTGTGTCCAATTGGGGAGATTTCCCTTCACTTCCTGTCCCATAGCCTAAACAGGAAGTGAGAGGATATCCCTCCAAAGTGAGGGAATCCCTAGTTGTCACCAGGGTCACCAGAACTAGTGTTGAAATATTTCCTCACTATTCCTATTCTGGGGACAAGCTAAAATTCAGAGTTTTTTTTTTTACTTTGGCTTTTGGTGAAATAGTAAACAAGACAAAAGGAATCTCCCTAATGGGGGCACAGACAGCATAAAAGTGTGTATTAATCCTTCAGCACTGTTGAAAACTAAAAAAAAAAAAAGTTTTGCCTTTAGTTGTACTTTAAGAATAAGATCTCTTCACTAAATAACATCAGAAAAGGAAAATCTGTACTTACTTTACAGCAGCTCATTTTTAATAAAATTTGAAAAAGTTTTACTTTAGTAAAATATTATATCCCGGGTGTTTAGGTGATGTAAGATTTTGAACACACGAAAGGTCGAGGAACGTTAGTTGACAATATTAGCAATTATCAAACACAGCTGGGATCTCAGCTTGACATCTGTTTTCTAGAGGCTAAAAGCTATTGTAATGCTGAGAGAAATGTTCCTAACTGATCTGAAATTATAAATAAAGTTGCCTTTTATTGTAAGAGTCAAGCAAGTGAGAGGTGAAAAATATGAAGGGTTCCATTAGGTGAGCTATTAGTTTTAGGTGACAGAAGTGCAGGACTGCCTAGAACAACTAAATGTAGAAAGCTCTTGATGTTGTATATGGAATAATGGCCCAGTCATTAGCACTAGGGCACCTGTGGCCTGGGTTCAACACCTTCAGTTGCCTTTAGGAAACAGAATTAGTAGAGTTGGTTTATTAAAGAAGTAAAAATTAACACCTTTCAAAGAGAATGTTTAGGTAGTTTAGTAAATAGGATGACTATACCAATTATGTGCAAGGCAAAATCAACGTTTTCGAACTTGCCCTTGCATGACTGGGCATTTAAAGTGAGTATGGCCTCACCTTATTTACTAAGATAAAGGAATGTGTAATGTAAAAAGTCTTCACTCCATTAGTAAACTAACCCCATTGAGTTTTAGAAGGGCCAAGACTGGACATAAAACCTGAAGACCTGCAACATGGGAGTTTTATGGTTTGTTTAAAAAGCAGTAGAGGCTGTTCACATTGCAAAGTGAATGATAGTAAATAATGTGAACCTGTGTTAATTTGAATACCTATTTGTGTGTGAGTGAAAAAAAAAAACATGATGTTTATTACCACATAGTTGTTTTAGTCAAGGTGTATCTAATACCAAAACTTGTGTTTAGTTTTTGATGAGGGGTTAGAATCTCCGTGAGGCTGCATTGCTGTTCCTGTATCAGCTGGTAGGATTCCCCCATATATTTGTCCTTTTGGTAATTATCACTGGGTCTGAAAGTGAGGGAAATTTAGAGTTGTCAACAACCCAGTGACAGCTGTCTAAGAGGGGATTTCCTTTATATTGAATATGTATTTATCTTACTTCCTGTTGTGTCTATAGAGAATAAAGTAAATGGCGATTCTCCCCAATGTCAAAGATTTGAACAATTCCAAACTATATCCACAACAAATAAAAAAAAAAAAGGGTTTATACATTAAACACTTGCTGACCACTGTATGTATTAAAATGTGAGCTAGTGGTCACACCATGGTCATGACTTCAGCTGCAGTCATGAGCTCGGTATGGTTTTTTTTTTTCAGATTGCAATCAACTGTCTTGTAAAAAGGATCTGGGCTGCTCTACAGCTACCCAATCAATTTTACGGTACCGCCCAACCCCCCCACACTGTCACCCATGGTGGATATCAGTCACAATCTGTGTTTGATCAGCTACTTTGGAGGGCAGGATAATAGACCCCTAAAAGAGCCCTAATGTCTCCATAAAGAATACCTATCATTACCCAAAGCTATCACATAGTGAGCTTGTTAGCCCCTTTGTGATAGCAATAAAGGTTAAAGAAAAAAAAGGAAAAGAATTGAATATAATAAAAAAAAGTAAAAAAATACACCCCGCCCCCTGCGCATACATGCAAATGAAAACACGCATGTAGGTCCTGCACACATTTGTAAATAGTGACTGCACTGGCTTCTGTTTTTAAAAATACATAATGTTTAGGAGTTCTAGGTAATTTTCTAATTTTCTAAAATCTAATAAATGAAGATTTTAACATGTGAAAAATTAAAAGGTTGCCCCTGATTAAAAATGTTTCTATCGAAGGGCTCCTGCAAAAGGTGCCTTGCCTTTCCAGGTGCCTTATCTTTCCAATTGGCAATGGTTTGGATCATTGCTTTGCTAAAATCTAGAAACACAGAAGACTCTTTAGCATCTCAAACACTTCTGAGTATTTTGGATGCCTGGTCCCCAGCTGTGTGCAGTGCCTACGGTACTACTGTGTCCTGTAGTGATGTAGGTGCCACCAGATGAAATTATAGTACGTGAAAGGGGATGGAGGTGTGGGAATACACTCTACTGTCTGAGATTGTAAATGCCTGTAAATATATTATGTATGAACTCCCAACCCCTGGTTTGTTGACTTTGACTTTGTTCGTGCTACTAAATCCTGGACCAGAAGAGACTTTTATGGAAGTATTCCTATGATCTAATAGTTTAACTGCAGCTGTTGATGCTATCTCTAAATCTTTTTGTGGAAGGCAGAGTATCTCTGCCCTGTCTTTTTGTGTTATTTCACATGCACAGCGCCAGATAGAGAGGTCTGTGCTTCTGTATGTGTAATGGTCATTTCCCAGCTTATCAGTAAGTAAACCTGTTTATATATATATATGTGGGCATATGAGCACCAGGACTATTAATGGGCCTTTTGCTGATAATACATGTTTGTACATTTGATGTATGTATTATTAATAACATTTTATTATATAAAATTTGTATCATTTCTATACTTGTGTGTATCTATGTCCTTTTGGTCAATGTTATATGCAGGTTGCAGTGGTTCTTCTGCGCCCAATTACTTTGATTCGATCACTGATTTTTCCACTTTGCAAAGGTTCTGGTTCTCTTATTCACTTACAGGTTTAGTGCAATAGCCTTTTTGGGGAGGGCAATTTCTCATAATCCCCCCCCCCCCCCCCCCAGATGGCTACATAGGCATTCATGGTTCCAAGGAATGTCAAGTATTAAGATTCTACTAGCTGTAGCTCTTCAACAAAGCAACAATCTGAGTCAGTATCCTCATTTTCTTGAGCCCTTTTTTAGAAAAAAATGTTCCTGGCAATAATGTCAATTTAAGGCCCCAGCGGGGGCACAGTGTACTTTTAGTCCTGCACATAGGGCTCTGGCATTTAGCCATAGGCAGAGGGCACAAGTACACCCTCAAGCCCAGTTGCAGTCTATCAAACAGCTGGTGCTGCTGGATGGGGCTGGGTGGTGCATTCAGTGGTACTTCCGTTTAGGGTAGTATGTGCCCAGGGATAAATGTCCAGAATAAATACTTCTTGTGTTCCAGGCATTTGTCCCTGGGCACATACTGCACTAAACATAAGTACCACTATATGCATTGCCCAGCCCTTTCGAGCTACAGCAGCTCTAAGCCTCTCATTGAGTTTGACAGGCTGCTAGAAGTGAGGCTGGATGGTGAACTAGTGCCCCCAGCTGTGGCTAAAGGCTGTAGCCCCATACACTGGGGCTAAATGCCAGTGTGCCTGGGGAATAACACAACGTCACCTAATTTACTAAGCTTAGTAATTTTTTTGCTTTTTTGTGTGAACAGTCTTTGTTCTTTAAGTCAGCCGTTTTCAACCAGGGTGCCTAGGCACCCTGTGGTGCCTTCTGGTTTCTTCAGGGGTGCCTGGGAAACATACTTAAACATTGCTTCAAATTGAGCAAAAATAGTGTACAAGCCAATAGGTGGATCAAGCCTATTTTTTGGTTGCAGAAAAGCCACAGGTTTTCATTGTGCAACACTACAACCTTGGGTACTGTGCAGGCATCCTAACAACCACTGACATCATTGGTTGATAAGGAGAACATTGGGCACCTGCACAGCATCCTTGTTTGACCCCCCCGCTCATCTCTGTCAGTACTGGGGTCACGTTAGCAATGTGGGGGAGAGAAAATGAGAAAAAAAAATGCTGGAACACTAGTCACTACCAGTGTGCAAAAGTGTATTAGCTTTGGAAGAATAAACCAAGTCTAATGTTGGATGTCTTGCATGTTTGCTGCATTATGTAAAACTATTAGTTTAGTTTTCTATATTTTAGAATGGGGTGCCTTAAGACTGTCCATAATTTTAAAGGGTGCCTTGACTGGAAAAAGGTTGAGAAACACTGCATTAAGTAAATTAATTCCACTGTTTCCATACAGCTTTCTCACATCTCGCTGCATTTATCCATAATTTAGGTATTGTTTTAAAGTACAGTCTTTTAAAGT